ATTTCGCCAGCCCCTTCCATGCACACGAAAGAAAACGAGATTACGCACAGAAAACGGGATCCAAGCCATTCGAATATCTTCTGGTTTCTAGCACCGTTTCTCGCTGTGTCTACGGATCGGAGGGAGAGAGAAAAGTAAGAGAAAGAAAGAAGACGGAGAGAGAAAGAGGAAGAATGTGTAAATGAAAAAATAAGTGAAAAATGAGGGAATAGACCTACGTACGAGAAAAATATGCGTGTACGACTTTGAGAAGACCTATGCAGAAATAAATAAATATATAAATATATATATATATATATATATATATATATATATATATATATATATATATATATATATATTTATGTTTGTGTGTCTCTGTGTGTGTATAATACATACATATATATTATAATATATATATATATATATATATATATATATATATATATATATATATGTATGTATGTATGTATGTATATATATATATATATATATATATATATATATATATATATATATATATATACATACATATATATATATATATATATATATATATATATATATATATATATATATATACACATATGTAATATACATAAATGTATATGATATATACAGATAAATGTGTGTATATATATATATATATATATATATATATATATATATATATATATATATATGTAAGTATCTATAAATATATGTGTTTGTGTGTGTGTGTGTGTGTGTGTGTGTGTGTGTGTGTGTGTGTGTGTGTGTGTGTGTGTGTGTGTGTGTGTGTGTGTGGTAAAGCGGAGAATGAAGGATATGATACATGATATTAAAGCAGGGGAGGAAGTAAAAAGTGAGGAAAGCGAAGCAAGAATAAGTCTTAACAATGGCCCTCAATCTCCCTAACAGAGAAGCTTTATCCCTAAGCCACCGCCGGCAAGACATGTCAACAAGGCAGCCGCTTGTTATCTAATTACAAACAAACGACGCTCCTTGTGCATCGCTCTCTCCTAATTCCCCTTCTTAACATCTTGCTTCTGCACCCTCTCTCCCTCTCTCTCTCTCTCTCTCTCTCTCTCTCTCTCTCTCTCTCTCTCTCTCTCTCTCTCTCTCTCTCTCTCTCTCTCTCTCTCTCTCTCTCCCTCTCTCTCTCTCTCCCTCCCTCTCTCTCTCTCTCCCTCCCTCTCTCTCTCCCTCCCTCCCTCTCTCTCTCTCTCTCTTTATTCTTCCCTCATCTCTATTCTCCTTCATCTCTCCCTTCTTCCATCTCTTCCTTTCTCCATCTCTCCCTCAATCCATCACTCTCTCCCTTCATCTCTCTCTCCTTATACCCATTTCTCTCTTTCTCAACCTTCCTCCCTCCTTCTCTCTCTCATTCTTTCTCTCGCTTTCCCTCATTCCCCCCTGGCCCCATCCCTGCGCTATCACCCGGAAGATAAGTGGTATCGCATGCTATCGTGGGCTATCGTCGACGCTGGCTTTGGCTAGTTCACTGTTGTATTTATCACCTGATTCACAAGGTACGAATGACATCCACTGGGCTCTCAGGTCAGAATTCAAGGTTATATCTTTGATTTCTCTGCTTTTCTCTCGTTTTTTTTTTTTTCTTTCTTTCTTTTTTCTTTCTATTTTTTACTTTGTCTTTTTTGGATATTTCGTTTTCCTCTTTCTTTCATTTTCACGTATTTATTTCTCGGATAATTTCGCTTTCTTTATCACTTTCTCCGCTTTATCCATCCTTTCTCTTTTTACGTTTATTAATTTTGCTTTTACATTTTCCCTGTTGGGCTTTCTTTCCTTTTTTCCTAGATAACTTTTCCCTCTCTCTGCTTTTCGATTTAATCTATTTTTGTTTCAATTGTTTTCAGTTTTTTTCGTTTCTACCCTCTATTTTTTCTGTTGTTTTTTTCTCGCTGTTCTCTTCTTCCTTGGTAAGTTTATCTTCTTTTCCTTTCTTTTTCCAGGAATTATTTGTTCTTCTTCGTCTTTTTTCTTGACTGGATTTATCTCCCACCTCTATTTTTTCTGTTGTTTTTTCTCGTGTTCTCTTCTTCCTTGGTAATTTTCTTTCTTTCCCTTTTTCTGTTTATCTTCTTTTCCTTTCTTTTTTTCTTTCATTTTCACGTATTTATTTCTCGGATAATTTCGCTTTCTTTATCACTTTCTCCGTTTATCATCTTTCTCTTTTTTTACGGTTTATTTAATTTTGCTTTTACATTTTCCCTGTTGGGCTTCTTTCCTTTTTTCCTAGATAACTTTTCCCTCTCTCTGTTTTCGATTAATCTATTTTTGTTTCAATTGTTTTCAGTTTGTTTTTCTACCCTCTATTTTTTCTGTTGTTTTTTCTCGTGTTCTCTTCTTCCTTGGTAATTTTCTTTCTTTCCCTTTTTCTGTTTATCTTCTTTTCCTTTCTTTTTTTCTTTCATTTTCACGTATTTATTTCTCGGATAATTTCGCTTTCTTTTATCACTTTCTCCGTTTATCATCTTTCTCTTTTTTTACGGTTTATTTAATTTTGCTTTTACATTTTCCCTGTTGGGCTTCTTTCCTTTTTTCCTAGATAACTTTTCCCTCTCTCTGTTTTCGATTAATCTATTTTTGTTTCAATTGTTTTCAGTTTGTTTTTCTACCCTCTATTTTTTCTGTTGTTTTTTCTCGTGTTCTCTTCTTCCTTGGTAATTTTCTTTCTTTCCCTTTTTCTGTTTATCTTCTTTTCCTTTCTTTTCCAGAATTATTTGTTCTTCCTTCGTCTTTTTTCTTGATGGATTTATCTCCCATTCTTCCTTTATTCCAGTTATTATCTTTCCCTTTCTCCCTCTCTCTGTTTTCGATTAATCTATTTTTGTTTCAATTGTTTTCAGTTTGTTTTTCTACCCTCTATTTTTTCTGTTGTTTTTTCTCGTGTTCTCTTCTTCCTTGGTAATTTTCTTTCTTTCCCTTTTTCTGTTTATCTTCTTTTCCTTTCTTTTTTTCTTTCATTTTCACGTATTTTTTTTTTCTCGGATAATTTCGCTTTCTTTATCACTTTCTCCGTTTATCATCTTTCTCTTTTTTTACGGTTTATTTAATTTTGCTTTTACATTTTCCCTGTTGGGCTTCTTTCCTTTTTTTCCTAGATAACTTTTCCCTCTCTCTGTTTTCGATTAATCTATTTTTGTTTCAATTGTTTTCAGTTTGTTTTTCTACCCTCTATTTTTTTCTGTTGTTTTTTCTCGTGTTCTCTTCTTCCTTGGTAAGTTTATCTTCTTTTCCTTTCTTTTCCAGAATTATTTGTTCTTCCTTCGTCTTTTTTCTTGATGGATTTATCTCCCATTCTTCCTTTATTCCAGTTATTATCTTTCCCTTTCTCCCTCTTTCTTGTTAATTCTCTCGATGCATCAAATTAGGCAAGTAGATTTCGCTACAATGATAACACGATTTATCTATCTACAACTCTATCCAGCTGCGTGTAAGTGACAGAAATGTCCAAATGCTGGATGCAAATGTCTATGAACATGGATTATGTATACCTTTAGCTGTTTAAAATGTTTAATCATATCATTTGAATATTCAATGTGAACAGTGAAAGCCGCTCTTTGTGTGGAATACAGCAGAGTTCAACCTTCATACAGATGTGCAATCCAGTTATTAGGCAAATGGTTAACGTGTGCAAGTATGTAAAGAAGTTGAGTCAGGGCGCCTCATTTGCAATAAAGGTAAGTAGTTCTCATGAGACCGTGTGTGCTTCGAGTGTATGTGTGTCTGTTTGTTTGCGGTTTTCTTGTTTTCATCTGTTTGTATAGTATAGGCAACGCGTATCCGGAGAGACTATCTTTCTGTCTAGTTGTTTATATTTTATTTATTTACATCTTTCTCAATAACAAACTCTCTCTCTCTCTCTCTGAGTGAGTGAGTGAGTATATGTGTGTGTGTGTGTGTGTGTGTGTGTGTGTGTGTGTGTATGTGTGTGCGTGTGTGTGTGTGTGTGTCTACATCTGTTTGTGTATCTATCTTTATTATATTTCTATTTCTAACTAAATAGAAATATAATAACTCTAACTCTAATCTATTTACCTCTTTCTCATTACCCAGCTATCCTTACACTTATCTATAATACATTTCTGTATTATCTGATTCTGTCATCCTACAAAACTATCTCTACTCTACTATCCACCTCTATCTCTTTCTCTATATATCTGCATATCCATCTTTGTCTCTCTATCTATGCATCTTCCAATCCATCTCTATCTCCATCTCTCTGAACCTCCTCTCAGGTTAAGTGATGAAGTCAACTTTTTGCAATGTTGAGCATTTTCCCCTTTAGCGCATGGTTCGCACTGTTATCCCTACATCTGTCCGTTATCGAGACGTTGTGTTCATTCAAAAACCAGTGCTTAATAATTCCGAAGACAGGGGAGAGAGAGAGAGAGAGAGAGAGAGAGAGAGAGAGAGAGAGAGAGAGAGAGAGTGAGTGAGTGAGTGAGTGAGTGAGTGAGTGAGTGAGTGATTGAGTGAGTGAAACTAGCATACAAACAGGTAGAAAGGATCAGACAGAACGGATGGATTTCGAGAAAGAGACAGATTGAGACAGATTTAGAGAGAGAGTGAGATTAAAAACATATTCATGAAAAGTTTAGTTCAATTGCCGCTAGGGAAAGGTGTTATCGCGTTGATAATCTGGAGATTTAAAAACGTTATCTTTTTACTAATCGGAAACGTTACGAAATACGCGTTAAGCGATCTCAACGATTAAATTCTTTCAACTACGTTTATTTTTTCCCTTTATTTCTGTTATTATCATTTATTGATGTTGAGGTCACCTTCATTTGTAATTTTCAAAAGAAAATAAAAGAAAATTTGTACATCCACCGCCAACAACATATACACGAAGTCTGCAGGGTATGGTAAAAAAAAAAAAAAAAAAAAAAAAAAGTGGAAAAACGCTAATGAAATACCAACGGGCCATTAATGAGACTGTGATCCCAAAGCCTCGATCAATTAGCTTGAAAACCGAGGAGGAGGAAAAGGTAAAACGACGGGCGAGAACTTACCTGAGGAAACGTCTTCGGAATGTCTGAGGTTCCTCAGTCTCGCCTCGATGGAAGAATTATATTCATATGGCTGGTTATTTTCCTCTCTTTTCTTTTCTTTTCGCAGTGGGTCTTATCGTCACTATATTTCTAGATTCCCAAAGATATTGTTATCTTTTGATCTCGCTAAACCCCTTTTCTTGCAATTGCAAGAGTTAGATTGATGTGGTGATGATAACTATAATTGTGGCATAAGATTACTCTTTTTCTCTTTCTCTCTTCTTCTATTTCTTTTCTTCCTCACTCTTACTTTTCTAGTGCAAACTAGAGGATTGTATGAGCTATTTGATTTGCCTTTTCTTTATCATCTATCTTTGATTTTTTCCTTTTTTTCAATTTTCAAAACACCGGTTACTAGCGTCCTCACGTCACTCGAAGTTAGACACTCCGGCGGGATGATGAATAGTAATTAAAACAAATAATAATGAATCCATCGATTAGATAAAACCGCCACGGTCAGAGAAAGAAGAAAAAAATCAACAAAGTAAACGAAATAAAAAGGAAAGAGAAAAAAAAGGATCGAATCTCATAAACTCGTCAATGTTGTTTTTCCTTAGAGAACGTCCTCTTCGATATGTAATAAGATCCTCTTGTCTTCTCTCGCTCGCTTTCTTCCTCTCCGGTTCGAACCTCAAAGCTCTCGATTCCCAAGGAGAGCGAAGGCGTGCACATCTACACTCACCAAACGCCTAGCAGGCACTGACTCGACACGCGCCCTCGCCCAACCTGCCTCCTGTCCGCCGCTCACCGACAGCCGACCGCGCATACTTGTTCTACGGGATAGCAATTTGGCGGCGGCTGGGAGACTTGTTTGATCAAAGGTGATATCTTTCGCGCTTTTTTCATGTGCGTGAGTATGTGTTTGCTTGTTTGGTTTCGATTTTTGAGGGTGCTATTTTATGCAGGAGTTTGAAGGTCTTATTTGTATGGTTAAGAGCCGGGTTAGTTTTGATGCGTTTTTGTTTGTTGTACTCAATGTTTTTTGTTTTTTGTTTTTCTCATTAGTTTTAATTATCTTGTTTTGCGTTTTTGCGGATGAGAAATTCTTGTTTTTCGTCTGCGTTCCCACTGTATTGCGCGAGTCTATAAATGCGTATTAGTATTCAAATAAAATTATTAAAGAAATAGAGCTGCGTTCCATAACACAACCACATGGATATTTTTTCTATTTTTTATAATGACCGGAAGCTTTTGCTTTACTAACTAACTGTAAAATGCCGGAACGCTTTTCCTATATATACCAGATATGTTTAATTCTTCTACACTTCATTTTGTTCCTTATATTACATTATTTGTTTGCCTCTGTATCGTATGTTATGCTTCGGCTCTTCATATTGGGCAATTTGCAATGTACAGTTTACAATTTATTTAATCATACCAGTTTCATATCTAACTATCATTTCGAAATTCAGAATCAATCTCAAGGTCAGGAAATACCAAAATAATGGTTGATTTCATAACATGTTATAATTGTATATTCTGTCTGAATAATGTTAACAATTGCTAATCTTGCAAGCAGCATAGGATGAACAAGATATTCTCTATTCGAGATAAACTACATGAATAGCTTCAGTATCAAAGTGGGGCTGTGCAGAAATCAATCAAAATAACCTCAACAAATCAGACGAAAGATAAAAACGGGCATCACCAGCCGTTATCTTTTCTCCAATGCGGTAAAGTCAGAGCTGCAGTTTCGGGTTTTGTGGCAGCGATTTCGTTTTAGAGTAGTATCTAAACCCATATCCAATCACACAGCGTGGAATCCTTAGCACAGATTCGATATGGGAACGTACATGAACGATATCCTGGTGAAGTAAACAATACAAACCTCAAACATTACTTGGTTTTACAAAAGAACAATAGTTATAAAAGAGATAAAACAACAAACAAATGAATAGAATAGCATGAGTTAAGATCTTTTTTCAGGATTGTAAAATAAAGAGAGAGAAAGTAATCAAGAAAAAGTATCGTGTTGTGTGTGTATATATATATATATATATATATATATATATATATATATATATATATATATATATATATATATGTTTATATATATATATATATATATATATATATATATATATATATATATGTTTATATATATATATATATATATATATATATATATATATATATATATATATATATATATATATATGTATGTATATATATATATATATATATATATATATATATATATATATATATATATATATATATGTATGTATATATATATATATATATATATATATATATATATATATATATATATATATATATATATAAATATTTATATATATATATATATATATATATATATATATATATATATATATATATATATATACATACATATATATTTTTTCTTTCTTTCTTTCTTTTTTTATCCGCTTCCCCCAGCAAAATAATAATAATATAAAAAAGTTGACACGTGTGTTCCTAACGTAACAATCGCATGTGCTCAGAAGTGGGGAAATGTTGGCAAAACTATTTTTTTAAACTGAATATGGTTTTGAATAGTGCAAGCACGTACCAACTAGAAATCTGATATTCATGTTACCGGTATGGAAAACTTTATTGCTTTAATAGAAACCTCATATTTCGTATTGTTGACGTCATGGTTATCAATATTATCATTATTACTGATAATACATTTATTGTCGGTGTAATTATCAGTAAGAAATGTGAAGCAATAGCATTAAAAGTGGTGCCAACGACCATGATAACTTTATTAAAAAGGGTTTTAATTCAAATGATGCGCATTAGAGTAATGATACTACTGATGATACTAGATGCAACATTTATAATGGAAGTTATAATGCTTATTATGATTAAAAATTATTATTTTCATTATTATTATTATTATTATCATTATCATCACCATTACCGAAGTTTTCATGATCACATTAATCATCACAACCTTAGAAAATACCCCAAAAGTAAAATTAATAAAAAAAATTGTAATGTCAACATCTACTTCACATATACAATTGCCAAGAAAAGGAAAGGAAAGGAAACATAAAGCTTAGAAGTGTTTACAATAACAATGAAAAAAGGATATTGAAATGTTAACCTGATCTCGATTTCTTTCCACGCTTACACTGTCTTCTGTTCAACCACCTGTGGAAGTTTGTACTGTCATTTCTCTTCTTCTGCACCCGACCTCTAAGTTTTCCTTTGCCTTTTCATCGCTATGTAGCAAATTATCTGCTTGATATTTAATGTATGTTTGTTCATATGTCCATTATTTGCTGTATCACGTCCTTTCTCTCTCTCTCTCCCTCTCTCTCTCTCTCTCTCCCTCCCTCTCTCTCTCTCTCTCCCTCTCTCTCTCTCTCTCTCTCTCTCTCTCTCTCTCTCTTTCTCTTTCTCTCTTTCTCTCTCTCCCTCTCTTTCTCTCTCTCTCTCTCTCTCTTTTCCTCTCTAGTATATAAAAGTACAGAAATTTAGATTTACCTGTTATTTATTCCCAAGAGGAGGGGAAATGCACAAGCTTGCTAATCTTGGAGGTAAAGAGTATTTTAATCACTACCGGGGAAAATTATTGAAAATATAAGGAACTTAATAGTTAACAATAAATTCAGGTAAGGAGACGAAAAAGGCGGAACAGAATTTTGGTTCACCGTTTGATATAACTGAATAGTTTAGTTTAGTGACAAAGTGATGTGTTGTTCCATAGAATATTGTTTATCATTGTTTTTTTTTTTGGAACGATTGCTACGATTGCTATATATATATATATATATATATATATATATATATATATATATATATATATATATATATATATATATATATATATATATATATAAATATATATATATATATATATATATATATATATATATATATATATATATATATATATATATATATATATATACATATATGTATGTATGTATGTATGTGTGTATGGTTGTCTATATAAAAGGGAGAATTTTAATGCAGCTTTTGGCAACAACTGTTACACGTATAATTCAAATTTATTTTGTTGCACAGGAGCCCAACTTTGGGGCCACACCAACCACCTGTGGGAACATGTACGATAACTGTCTCTGCAGTTTTCTTTCTCTCTCTCTCTCTCTCTCTCTCTCTCTCTCTCTCTCTCTCTCTCTCTCTCTCTCTCTCTCTCTCTCTCTCTCTCTCTCTCTCTCTCTTTCTCTCTCTTTCCTTGCTTCCTTCTCCAGTATCGTCACACAGTATAAAAGGAGAAGACATTGTCACTGGTGTATCCTGAATGACTCATATGATTGCATAACTTTGCCTGCTGTCTATTTGTCTTCCATTGTATCCATTTGTCTACCTATCTATATTTGATTCTCTATCTGTTTGTCTATCTTCTCATTTAGTTTTTACGTCTCTCTCTCTCTCTCTCTCTCTCTCTCTCTCTCTCTGTGGTTCTCTCGCTCTATATATCTATGCATCAATCTATCTATATTTTTTTTCTATATAACCCTATCTTTCTATCTATCTATCTATTTATTTTCTATATAACCTTCTCTCTCTCTCTATCTATCTATCTATCTATATTTTTTTCTATATAATCTTCTATCCCTCTCTCTCTCTCTCTATCTATCTATCTATGTATCTATCTATATACTATCTATTTATCTATCTATCTATCTTTTTTCTATATAACCTTATTTCTCTCTCTCTCTCTCTCTCTCTCTCTCTCTCTCTCTCTCTCTCTCTCTCTCTCTCTCTCTCTCTCTCTCTCTCTCTCTCTCTCTCTCTCTCTCCCTCTCTCTCTCTCCCTCTACCTATCTGCCGCCTATCTCTCCCTTTACCTCTCTCCGTGAAAAAATGGTAGGAATTTCATACCACAAATCACGAAATACCAGCAAACGATCTCATATTCGATTAGCATGACCACCTCTGCTATTATTTCTTGTGAACAAAAGAGAAATATGAGACAGTCTATTCCACTCCCTTCGCCTTACTCCTCCTACATGGCGTGACATAGTGGGTAGAAAAAGGGAGTAAAAAATATATATATATATGAAATATGTATACTCTATTCAGTGAATATATCGTATAATGGTTGGTATATTTTTTTTCCTCTGTCATGAAAATGAAATAAAAAGGGTGTTCTGAATGATAAAATAGGAGAATATATAGCGTGCAATCCATTTTACACTCAATTGTATCGCGCAGTTCAGCTTTAATTGAATATCATTTAATATAATTTGTTAGATATGATTATCTGCTAGTCATATTATTCATCACAATATAGTTTTCATTTATATATTTGCTCGCACTTGAATATATACCTGATAGGAACTCTGTGACGTGAGGCATATCAACAAGTGTAATAAAATGCAATATTAGCAATATTCAGAGGAAAAAAAAATGCTAATTATATATGAGGATATTTGAATAATGATAATACCATAATGATAATGTTAAAATGAAGAATTATAACCATGACCATAATGATAACAAAGATTTTAATGGCAGTGGTAATGATAACGAAAATAATGAAAAAATGATAATAATATTAATAAAAACAATAATGATGAAAGACAATACCAGTTCTAATGATAATTATAACAATTAATTATTGTTATTAGTAGTAGTAGTAGTAGTATCATTATTATTATCATTAGTAGTAGTAGTAGTAGTAGTAGTAGTATCAATGTTATTATTATTATTATTATTATAATTATTATTATTATCATTGTTAT